CAGCGGCAGTATCAAATTAAGCAGGGCACTGCGGCGGCAGTATCAATTGAGCAGGGCACTGCGGCGGCAGTATCGAATTGAGCAGGGCACTGCTGCAGCCGTATCAAATGGAGTGGGCACTGCTGTGGCAGTATCAAATGAGCAGGGCACTGCAGCGGCAGCATCAAATTAAATTTAACTGATCAGATTTAGATATGCTTTCTTTGTGTGAAAATTATTGGTCCTGATATAGCTCTTGAAGGCGTCCGATGACCATCGACCGAGAGCTTGGATCTGCTGCTGTGAGAGACCTTTTTGAGCTGCTGTAGTTACTGCCCCGATTCGGAAGGAGTGGCTGGAAAATCTTTCTATGGGTATGACTGGTTGGACGATGTTTTTGAACATTGTTTGGATGGATGTTTTTTTAAACCAAAAACGTGTGACGGGGTGGTTACAGCCATCGACAAAAAGAGGGTCAAGAGGGGATGTAGACTGATATAAATTCTCCAATGTGAGAAAAAACAACTCTGAATGGTGAGAAGAAAACTCTGAATTGTGAGATATAAACTTGTAATTGAATTTCGGAAGAGAATGCATAAGCAATGGAACAACTTTGGCCCAACGGTGGAAGAGCAGCTGATGTTACAGTGAAAGACTTGAGGTACTCACCAATGACAGTCACATTAAATGTCTTTGTCATAGTCTTTTCTCTAGAGATGGTGAGTTTATATTATCCTGAGTGTCTGATTCTGATGTTTGTGATGGTGAGAGATCCAGTCTTTTGATCCACCTGCAATCTGCCACTGAATCCAGCATCATCGGCGACAAAAAATGAGGTCAAGTGATGCTTTCTCTTTATTTGCAACGTGATCTCATGATAATTCGTATGTATTTTACATAAAATGTGGTTCTATAAAACGTACATTTACTTACGTTTTTACAGACACTAAAACGTACAATACTGACGTATTTTCAGCATCTAAACGTACAAAACCAAAAGTGTACGTTTTGTGCTTGTAAATGTTACGTATTAATACTTACGTATAAACATGAGACCAGGCTGTTATTTGAGATATGAGAGAGGCTTTTTGGTCCGAACATCCACAATATTGTATCATCGTTCAGTAGTTCAGAAAGGTTAGTGTGTAGAGTGACAGAATCTCCCTCCATCACTGTCACTGGCTCAGATTCATCCGTCTCTGTACCAGACACACCTGGAGAACAAGCACAACAGTTTTACTGATACCACACTAACTTCAGCAAACACATTCACCTGAAATCACTGTGTAGCTGCTGAAAAGACAAACAGACATGGAATTACTCTTCAGATTGTGAAGGGGAAAACTGAGAAAATTAAGACCATACACAACAAAGCTAAGCAACAAAACAAGATGAATGTATTTAAGAAGCAACACTGTTTAAATGATTAATGGATAGTTCACCCAAAAATGGAAATTCTGTCATTTGGTTCCCTTTGACTCCCACAGTATATTTTATTTATTTATTTATTATAAAAAAAAATTCATACTATGAAAGTCAAAGGTGCCCAGAAACTGCTCAACAGCACAGAAAAAAATAAATTAAAAAACTCATAGATTTAGAATAACTTGAGGACAAAATTTGTATTTTATGCTTAAATTATTTGTTTTCATAGATTGTAAATTGAAAATAAATATTTTGTCTCACTGCATTGTCAGAGTTTTCAGACTTTTTCATCTTATAGTATACAGTGAAACAATAAACTAAACCAACAACAACATCAACAACAAAACATTATCTGAAACCAATTGTGCGGTTGCATTAACTGCTCATGACTGTTAAAAGTTAGTCATCTTTTTTTTTTTTCTTCAAGACTGGTCAGAACTTTTTCATGTTACTTACATAAAGTGGTAGACTGGTTTAATTTGAGTTGGAACATTTATCAAGCTGGTAAAACTAGTTCTTAAGACAGTCTTAGCCAGGCATGTGCACACATAGACATCAAAGGGGGCTTGAGCACCTTACCCTTTTTCTTCCTGGAGGGAAAGTGCCCTTTTTTCTTTTTTCTTTTTTTTTAAATAAATGAATATATGTATATATGTATATGTATATGTATATGTATATGTGCGTGCGTGTTTCTGTTTGCGCACAGCTTTCCCTGTCAAACAAATAAAAATATCAGGTCGGGTCAGGAAATGTTGGGACTCTGTCGAGAGTTCCGATGCCTTTCACCCCTCCGTGTCTCCGCAGCACAGCAGTGTAGCACACATTGATCGGCGCATCACAGTCACAGACAGGCAGAGAGCCGCAGAAGTGAAGCCCTCCCTCCCTTGCCAGTTGTGTTTGTCTTGCTGTGGAGGTGAGTGGTGATGAACAAAAGACTAAGCTACCTGTGCCTCGAATTTACAGCTAATCAGGGGCGTAATTTCCACCGGGGACAGGGGGGACATGTCCCCCCCACTTTTCAAAATTTGTCTGTTATGATTTTTTTTAACCGCACGCAGTCATCGACACGGAGGAGCAGGACACAGACGCACGAGTCCGCGTCCAGGAACATAGTCGGGTGCACACTCTAAAAATAGCTCACTGAAAGTTCTAATGAGCGGGTATCGCGATTGCGGCACAGTCAGCGATGAAACGCCAGAAGCCACAACAGATGACTTTAATGTCATCATGGATGAAAAGAAAGAAAGGAGATGTGAGTTGGTTGATTCAGTAAATTAGCTCTGGTCAGGATAATCATATTTTCTGCCTACATACACCTGTTGATGTTAGCCTAATGTTGACTGGGCTAACGTTAACATACACTGTTGCTAGGTAACAGACTGTTGTTAGCTAAATATTTAATGTAGAACAGTGGTTCCCAAACTGGGGTACGTGAGGCGACAGAGGGGGTACGCGAGCAAAATGCTGAGTTTTGCGGTGTTACGTGAACGAATCGTTCGCGACAGTCATTGATTCAATGATTCATTCATAAATACAGCCACTTGCTTCGTTACTAAATGAACGAATGACTCGATGACTCACGCATTAAGATAGTGACTTACCGCCACCTACTGGCGCTTTTAGTATTTAAAAGAATCACTTTTCACTTTTTTATCATCATTGCATTTTACTCTATTGAACATTTTTAAAATTTAAAACATTATTAATATTGTATTTATAAAGATAAAAAATGCACTGGAAAGTCCATTAAGGGGGCAAATATTGTCCTTTAATAAAAAAGGTGCAGTCTAAGTGGAAGAGAGGGGGTACGCAGAAGGATGGTAAATGCCTTGGGGGCTACTCCACTCTGAAAAGTTTGGGAACCACTGATGTAGAACATTCTGTGTACCATGAAAATGAGTCCACTTTAAACGAAGCATTTTCTGTCAGCATTTTCCTACTATTCTTTCTGGCAGAATTTATCATTATAATCAACTTAATTATTTCCTGGATTTTGTATCACCATATTCCCTAAATGTATGTAAATGCAGGAAATGGGATTCAAATCGAAAACATTGCCCCCATTTTGTGTCCCCCCCACTTCTCAAACCAAAGTTACACCCTTGCAGCTAATTATCCAAAAGACAAATATAGTTAATTTGTCTTGCTAACAGTCATGACTCATGAGAGAGCTACCATGTACGTTAGCTAAAGTTTAGCTAAGGCAATAGGAAGTCTAGTAGGTTAGACCAGTGCACGTTCTTTCACTGCATGATTCAGTTTATTAAAATGCTTTTAGAATGATCACAAAATTCAAGATAAGGGGGTAGAAATGTATTTATATCATTTCATATAGTTAATCAGTATCACGCGAAGATTGACGTTTTTTCCACCAAAATGCAGCATGATTACAAATGTGATATTGATTTTATACAGCAGTTCAATAAACAAGAATTTAATATGAACTTATCCATTGTTGTGTTGTACAAGTAACATAATAAATTCTGAATTTGCCATTAATAATAATGAGCCACAAACTAAGTATTCGTTTGAAGTAAGGAGAAAATCCAAAAACCTTTTATTTATTTGTTACAACGTATGTCTTATTCGTTCTGTTAATAAATGTTTTATGTTTAATAAGCTACTTTTTCATTGTAGTATTGCTGATGCTGTGTGTAGGTTTTTTTTTTCATTAAGAGTAATACTGAATCAACCTTAAGCATTAATTTTGTCCTTAAGCATCAAGTTTGTCCTTAAGCATTAATTTTGTTCCAAGAATAGGAAAGATCTAACGTTAAAGATCAAGATAAGCGATGCAGATGCGAGATTGGTTGCTGCCGAGATAAATAGATGCTCTCGATCTTTCTCTGCTGTATCTTTGCAATGGCTGTAGAAATGGTCGTTAATTCTTGATTTGGGTACTGCACATACATGTTACAGGTAATATAATATGATTAAAAAGTCATGGCAACAAATTAATTCCTAAGTCAGTTTAAGTTGAAACGGCTCTCACAATCAGTTTGATTAAACGTATTCATGTTTTACTGTTGCTTAATGTCATTGTAGGCTTAGGCTACTTTTTCTATTAATTTTATTGTATATACAAATTAATAAAATGAGTTTTATTTATTTTTTGTTACACAATTTTCCCTCATTTTTTCTTGGGCTACACGCCAGGGGGTGCAGCACCCTCAGCACCCCTACTTCCTGTAATAGATTTGAGTCACCTTTAATATTAAGAAATGGGTTTGTGTACCTTAGAAAAAAACACACCATGTGTAGATAAATAGTGATAAAAAAAAAGATAAATATTATTTTTTTTGACCATGAAACCAACCATTTCTTTAAAATAAACAGCTGCTTGAGGGGAAAATGAATGAATTTGTTGACATATTTTGAAACATGCTTTCTTAAAAGACATAAGAGTTGGTAACAGTACTGAAAAAAATACATCCATCTTCCACTTAAAAACCATGCAAAAATTTAAATAAAGTTACCTGAGATTGACCAGTACAGATTTTGAATAGTTAAATATGTGTATTGCTAGATCTTAACAAAATAAATAAATAGAAAAAATAGCATCCATTCGGTGGAATGGCCCTTAACCATTTTGACTGAAATATTTGACTTCTCTCGTTTTTCTCTTCTAATCCTCACTCACGAAGACTGTTGGTGTTGATCGAATACCATGCGAGTCTATAATTTATGTTCTTTTCATTTATTTGTGCAGATCGGCTTTTTTAAAAGGAAAACAAATCAGTGCACCTTATAGACGCACTAAGTCATTCCCCGTATTATTTCCCTCCTCTCGTCGCTTCACACTCCAGTCCAGCGGGTGGCGCTAAAACACATACGTTTGTTTGCCAAACACCATTAAAAAACCTCAAAGGAAGAATATTAGTTTCACCGCTATCTCTGTTGTTTTGTCGTGATGCTGACTTTATAAAAACGGTTAGAAATGTTGTTTCTGTAAATAGAAAAATACAGTTTTTGAATCAGGTCAATAAATACCTGTAATATTCTCATCCTCGCAGTCGTGATTAAGTTTTGAAGCAAGCAGGAATATCTGGAGGAGTATCATCTGAACTGAGATCTGCTGCTGTGAAGATGGCGTTTGTTAAAGAGGAGAGTGAGGAGAACACGAGTGAACCAGAAACCTGGAGAATAAAACACGAGGAACCAGAACCCCGGAGAATAAAACAGAAGGAACCAGAACCCTGGAGAATAAAACATGAGGAACAAGGAGGTTGGTGTTTATTCTTCATCTTTAATGACTGTTTGTGGTACATAAGGCTTACACAGCTTTAAAGTGTATCCACAGCAGTGTTGGACAGTAGTTACTAGTAACTTAGTTACTGTAATAATAATATTACTTTTTGCAGTAACTAGTAGTGTAACTAATTACTAAGATTTTATATTTAATAATTTATTAAATATTAAATGATTACATTTAATAATATTACAGTTACCCTCCATAAAACAGTTTAGTTACTTTTGATGCCTTAACCCCGCTGATTTAAAATCTAACAATCAAATAATTCCTAGATTTATTTTCATAATTTTCACGAATTGCACATGCATGTGATGTCCCCAGTGCAGTAGGCAAGCTTGGAATATGGAAAAGCTTACATTCAGCAGATAGAAATACTGCATTATATTGATTTCGTCAGGAAAAAAAGATGATCTGAGCTAGGGCTGGACGATATGGCCAAAATTGATATCACGATATATTTCTTAATTTCGGTCGATACGATATAATTCCGATATCGATATGAACACTATTTATCTGAAATAGAAATCTTTTGTAACATTATAAATGCCTTTATCATCACTTTTGATCAATTTTAAGCATCCTTGCTAAATACAAGTATTAATTTCTATAATTTCTTTCCCCAAAAAAAAAAAAAAATTATACTGAATGGAATAGTCGCGATACATATTGATATTGAATTATTGTCCAGCCCTAATCTGAGCACTGTTGTGTAAATTGTGGCTTTACTTTACTCAGATATTACATCCCTCCCACATCCCTTTGATCAGCATGTGGTAGATTATATTACTATAATTAAAAATCTTTTTGGAAAATTAAACGGTTTCTTACAAACTTATTTGATTTCATAAAATGCATAATGAAATATAATCGTATATGGGTAACGGAGAAATGACAATTAGCTTCAAGCTACATATGACAATTAATGAGATTAATACAACACTTCTACTTGAATGTAACTATCAATCACTATTGAGTGTTTGTAATAACTTCTGACTGCGACCCAATGTGGATTTTGGTCAAATGATGAGGCAGAAATATATTGTTCGTAACATTCTTTGGAAAATTAAACGGTTTCTTACAAACTTATTTGATTTCATAAAATGCATAATGAAATATAATCGTATATGGGTAACGGAGAAATGACAATTAGCTTCAAGCTACATATGACAATTAATGAGATTAATACAACACTTCTACTTGAATGTAACTATCAATCACTATTGAGTGTTTGTAATAACTTCTGACTGCGACCCAATGTGGATTTTGGTCAAATGATGAGGCAGAAATATGTTGTTAGTAACATTCTAGAATAATTTTTTTTGGAAGATACACAGTTACAACTTCTGTGGGACGTGAAGAAAAAGTAATGTAACTAGTAGTGTAACTAATTACTGTTGCCAGAAAGTAATAAGTAAAGTAACAATATTACTTTTGAAAGGAGTAACTAGTAATGAGTTATATATTATGTTCTTTGAGAAACTAGACCAACACTGGTCCACAGATCTAGGGCTGCACAATTAATCGAAATTAAATCACAAAGGCAATAAATCGCAATTAGGCAGAAGCTGCGATTGTCTCTCTCGTATAATTTTCATCATAATAAAGTATATATATAATGAAATGCTAATCGACATAGCCTTTATCACTGCTTAGAATACAATGACATATTGTGTGCCTTAATATTATGTTCTTTGAGAAACTAGACCAACACTGGTCCACAGATCTAGGGCTGCACAATTAATCGAAATTAAATCGCAAAGGCAATAAATCGCAATTAGGCAGAAGCTGCGATTGTCTCTCTCGTATAATTTTCATCATAATAAAGTATATATATAATGAAATGCTAATCGACATAGCCTTTATCACTGCTTAGAATACAATGAAATATTGTGTGCCTTAATTATTCTGTTTAAGAAGCCACATCATCTCACAGAAGGATTTATTTCAAACACTCGACTGACGTAATGAAGTGAGTTTGGAGTAAAAACGTTATTAAATGTGGTATTTTCACGTGCTCTCAGATGGAGCAGCATTTACTACACAGAGCCATAGTTCACTGAGAAGATACGCAAACAGCTGTCATTATTGCGAACGATTTCATTGATTTCATAATCCTACGATTATATCGTCTGCGATTATGAACGCGATTTTGCATAGCTTGTCAGAGAACTACGGCTCTGTGTAGTAAATGCTGATGGAGATTTACTACTAATCACAGAACTTTACTGATAAAATGTGCATGACAATCACGATTAATTGCATTCGATTAATCGTGCAGCCCTACATAGATCCTTAATGTAAAAATAAGACCTTAAAGGGATACTCCACCCCAAAATGAAAATTGTCATAACTCAAAAAATATTAAACGATAACATCATAATTATTTACTGAACCCTTAAATGAATCACAATTATATAATGAAAGCCATAAAAATCAGACAATTAATCACCATAATCGCCAAAGCCCTAAAACAGACAATTAATCGCAAGAACCATGACTATTTTTAGACAATTAATCGTCAGCCAAATGTCATAATCGTGACAGCCCTAATTTCAATCATCATACAGTAGCCTAACCACCAGCATCAGCCACCTCTTCTTCTCACCGGAGACGTGATACAGCACTAAACAGTCTCTCGCTGTTGGTGCTTCGTGCTTGTAATGATTTCTGCGTCTTTCTCTGATAGTTTAAAATACTTTCACACTGCCGACATGTTTGCTGCATTAGTGCGTGCCTCTATTTGATCACATTAGTCATTGTTCAGTACATATTATTCGGCCTTTTCGCTTATTTGGCCGAACACCGAAAGAGATTTTTTTGCTATTTTCGGCCGAATAATTTTGGTTGTCGAACATTCGGTGCATCCCTATTTAAAACTCAAATCTGCAGTTTATTTATAAAGACAGCGGCTATTTGAAAACGTGCATCACTGATTTGGGAGACGTGAGCTCCACGCGATCAACGGCGCTCAGTGCTCATGTTTCCCGACGAGAGCAGCTTAACCTCGGCTAGTCCTTGTGACATTTGCCGCTGGCTCTGATGTCTGATGACCCCTTTAAAAAAGTATAAAATTTGTAGTGCTGATACCTGCAGATTCCGTGTAGACCGCAGTAAAATAATGTAGATTAGACAAGTACTTTTCACAATACTTCAAAGGGTACATTTACACGACAATAATTCGAAATATGGAAATATGTTTCTTAGGATTTTTAAAAGGGGTGGTTGACTGTTTTTTTCTAGGCTTGATTGTGTTTATGGGGTGTAGTCTAACATGTGTTAATGCTTCATTAAAAAAAAAAAAACATAATTTACATAATTTATCTTTATTCTACACCACTTTGATCACTGATGATTTCCTGGTTTTATGAAGCCCCTCCCTCATAAATATGCGATGGGCTCAGATTGGTTAGCTGGCCAAGTGTGTTGTGATTGACTAAACCTAAACATCTAACTTAATAGGTAGCCAGTGCAGAGACTGTAAAATTGTGGTAATATGATCATATTTTCTTGACCTGGTAAGGACTCTAGCCACTGCATTTTGGACTACCTGTAGCTTGTTTATTGAAGATGCAGGACAACCACCTAGCAGTGCATTACAATAGTCACAATAAAACAATTAATATTTTGTTAAATAAGAGATTACTCAATTTGAGTGTATTGATCATTTGGTAATAAAAACTATTTTTATTTAATAAAAAAGAAGCGTTTGTCCATGTCCCTTGAATGGTTGTCCACCCTGTCGTTTTGGGGAATCCGCCCCTTTAAGAAAAGGCCATCCCCTTTAGTGACATCAGGACAACAGATTTTTTGTCTCTTCAGTGGTGGGAATTTCAATGGCTGAGGTGAACAAGTTGGTGACTTTTCAGTTGACAAATTTTCTTCGTATGAGTTTGCTTACTTGCTTTGCAAAAGCTTAACATGTCCACCCTGTCGGCATAAAATATGCCAGAAGTGATTCGAATACAGTATTTTCAAAATATGTAAGTTTAAATATACCAAAATTTTTTTCAACATCCAGCCTTAATATTTAGCTAGTAACAGTTTGTTGTAAGCTAATATGCTAATTGAAGTCAAGTCATGTCACCTTTATTTATGTAGCACTTTTAACAATCAGTGGCGGCTCGTCGGGGGAGGCAGGGGAGGCACAGCTTCCCCATAATTTTGAGGTGAAAATGGGAGGAGGACGATTTAATGTTAATAAAATTCACAATTAATTTCAGTTCATGTCTCAGAATGTGTATTTTTTGTTTGTAATTTTACAGTTGTAATACCATAACATGAAAGCGCCGCTTTTCTGTCTCGAATGTGCCGAATCTGCTGATGTAATTACAACCGCTAATGATAGAGAAGGGTAGGGGGAGGCCGGGTGAGCGCTGAGCTCTCGTGCCTCCGTTGGTAAAGTAAATTAGCCAATCACCATCGAGTGTTCACTTTCATCTAGGGATATGCCGGTATCAAATTTTCATGTTGCGATTAATTGCTAATGCTTTTATCACGGTATAAGGTGTTATCACGGTATTTACATTTAGTTTAAAAAAAGTGCTGTCATAATACAGTATAACAGGTTTAATAACTTTTTTCTTATAACAAAAATAACTGAACATTTAAATGCAATAAAGCAATACAGAAAAAGTTATAAAGCTAAAAGTTTTACACAGATTAAAGTGCAAAAGAACTATAAAGACCAATAGGTATCACTTTACAATAAGACCTCATTAGTTAACCTTAGTTAATGCATGAATGTTAATGCATTAACTAAGGTTAACTAATGAGGTCTTATTGTAAAGTGATACCTATTGGTCTTTATAG